CAGGCACTCACTACTCCCAGGCAAAGATCTGACCAGCCTAGCTTAGAAAGCAGACTCTTGCAGCTACAGGTATGGAGTCTGAGAAAGGCCCAGAGGTGGTTCTGGGACCCCGAGAGAGCGGGCAGGCAGAGCGAAACGGGGAGTCCGATGCTTGCCGTGCTGGGCCTCGGCCCTCAGCATGGCCACCCTTCAAAGCTACAGTTGTAGTAGGTAGTTTACCCAACAGCCCCTGTTTGGGGCTTTTCCTCCCACTCCTTCACATTACAGGTGACAGGTATTATGACGTGTATGTCACGGCAACATACTGGGGGCTACGTTGGTGGGTGGGATTGACAATCTGGTGCCTGTCCCCACGCTGTTGACTGGTGGGAGGGCAGAGGAAATGAGGCAGTCTTTCCCAATGAGGGCCCCACGCCACCCAGCAGATGGTGTGCCCGCTGTTTCCTATGTGTATCAACACGTGATACAATGTCTTGCTTCGCCGAGTGAAGACACTTAGTGGTTATCTTCGGGGTGCTTCCAGACACACGTGGAGGAATCCCATCATTCCATTTGTCCTCAGACTTTCTGGGGGCCCCTCATGTTGGGTCCAGGGGTGGAAAAGGCGGGGAGAGTGTGGAATGGGACTTTGGGGGGTGTGGGGGGGTGGGTTTAAATGTAGGTTTTGGTGGTAAGTCACGGAAGTGCATTATCCAATTCCAACATGAAATGAAGCAAGCAGCTCAAAAACCACGCTCGGAAGAGTCTGCAGACTTCTGAGTCGTGCCGCTGCTTGTGGGGTGGGGCAAGCAGGGACTTAGGCCTGGCTGCTGCTGCCTCTGCCCGGCGGGTGTCCATGGGACACCTCATTGCTCACTCTTGTTCCAGGCTTGTGGCCACTGCGCTCCGACCCTACCCGGGAGACGGATGACACTCTGGTGCTGTCCTTTGTGGGCCAGACGAGGTGAGCTGGGCCCGCAGGTGCCCCCAGGGCCGGGCGGGGGGCCAGCTGCCCTGCAGGCCTTGACCGGCCAGCTGCTGCGTTGCAGAGTGCTTATGTTGCATGGCGAGGAGGTGGAGGAGACGGAGCTGACGGGCTTCGTGGATGACCAGCAGACGTTCTTCTGCGGCAACGCGGCTCATCAGCAGCTCATCCAGGTACGGCTGAGGTGACTCCTCCCCGCCCCTCAAGCAGCCCTTATGGCGCTCTAAACGACGTGGAAACGCTAGGAGGAGAAGGTGAAAGTGACCCGCTGACCCTCTCCTCGGAGAGAACGAGCCCCTGCTAACTGCGGCGAGGTTGGCACTTGCATGGACAGCGCCCGAAACCCAAGGGGGCAGTTCTGCCCTGTCTTCAGGGTCACTATCAGTCGAACCGACTCAGGGCAGTCGGCTCCTTAGGTTCCGTGTAGGGACTCCCTCCTTAGCTGGCTTGTTCCCTGTGGAGGCCACGGGTTTTGTGCGTGTGCGCTGGTTCTCAGGCCGGAGTCAGTGGGAGTGCGTATGTTTTGGGCCTAGTCTTCTCACCAATGACACGTGGCTTCCCAAACGCTGAGAACTGCTGTCTTCTCTGTAACAGTCACTGTGCTTGCTCTGTGCCGCTTGGAAAATACTGGAAAGCACACAGGCAGGTTGGGGGCCGGGGTGGGGAGGGGGCGGTCAGGACAGGCCCAGGCCCCACCACCCAGGCTCCACCTGTGGATTGTGGGGAGAGGTGGGGGCCTTGCCATGCCGATCAGCCATGATGGTCAGGTGCTGACGCCCCTATCCCCACAGGCCTTTTGTATTTGGGGAGCCGTGCCCTTGGGCTTGGTGCACCCCCTCGGCACCCTCTGCATGTTGCCCAGGCGGGCGTAGCACATACACCTCTGAGGGCCTGTGAACTGACTTCCTCTCCTCACTCCCCTGGTTCTTACAGCCGCGGGGTGGGGAGGGGTATGTGTGGTGGGGTCGGTGGAAATGCTAGGGAAGAGTCTTGAGCAGGCATCCTCAAACTGCGGCCCACCGCAGACATTCATCCGGCCGCCTGGGTGTTTTTGCCACATTTGTTTTTATATTTCAAAATAAGATATGTGCAGTGTGCATAGGAATTTGTAAATCGTTTTTTTTTTTTGTTTTTTTTTTTAATTATAGTCCAGTCCTCCAACGGGTCTGAGGGACAGTGAAATGGACCCCTGCTTTAAACGTTTGAGGACCCCGGGTCTTGAGTTTGCAGGCCACCATGGTGGGTGGGGCCCAGCTACCAAACCATTGTGTGATCAGTGTTTTCTAACCAGTGGGGCTGATGACCACCCCGGCATCCCTCCCTTTGTAGGAGGCTTTTTACTCTTCTGTGTACCCTCAGTACAAAGCCCACCTTGGGGTGGAGAAGGATCTGCTAGGCTGGTGGCCACAGGGCCGGCTCCACTGATACCGTTGACGGCAGGATGGAGTGGGGCCAGGCCTCGCTCGGGAGCAGGAGCAGCCGGTGGCCTGGCTGTCTGTGTGGGTGTCTATGCATGCAGCAAGCTGCTCTCAGCCCTTCTTGGTGGCAAGATGAGCTCACACTCCCGTTGTCATCTGCCTGCTTTTTCTTTTCTTTCTGGGACCAGAGAAATGGTGAAATGCGCCAGTCTAGTTTCTTACCCGCACTGAAGGTTTCAGTCATGCGTGCCCTGTAAAGACCTTGGATATTTCAGCAAGTCTAGTTTGGGGGTTGAGAGGAGCTGCTGGGTGCCCCAGGGCCTTTCTCCACCAATACTGTGGGGGGGCTGGGGGGTGGGAGCTCCACAAAAATGCCTGCGTTTGCTGCTTGAAGCCGTCGCCTGACAGCTGTGGCCAGAGCGCATGCAGGTAGCACACACTCAGGGCGGGTCCAGGGCTGCTTGCTGCTGTGAAGCACCCAGCACTCCTCTTCTTCTCCCCCAGATCACCTCCGCCTCGGTGAGGCTGGTTTCTCAGGAGCCCAAGGCCCTGGTCAGCGAGTGGAAGGAGCCCCAGGGCAAGAACATCAGCGTGGCCTCCTGCAATAGCAGCCAGGTGGTGGTGGCTGTGGGCAGGGCCCTGTACTACTTGCAGATCCACCCCCAGGAGCTCCGACAGATCAGGTAGGTGCTGCTGCCTCGACTTCACTTCCCATCCCCCTGGGGCCCGCCTGGCCCCCAAAGCCCTCCTCTGCCAAAGCCTTCTCTTTCCAGCCACGTGGAGATGGAGCACGAAGTGGCCTGCTTGGATATCACCCCACTGGGCGACAGCAGTGGGCTGTCCCCTCTGTGTGCCATTGGGCTCTGGACAGACATCTCCGCTCGGGTCCTGAAGCTGCCTTCCTTCGCACTGCTGCACAAGGAGATGCTGGGCGGGGGTGTGTGCCCGTCCCCTGCCACCTGGGTGGGTGGGCGTGCGGGCCGGGCACAGGTGGGCCGGGAGCTTAACACAGCTCTCCATCACAGAGATCATCCCTCGCTCCATCCTCATGACCACCTTTGAGAGCAGCCACTACCTCCTTTGCGCCCTGGGTGATGGTGCGCTTTTCTACTTTGGGCTCAACCTCGAGACAGGTGAGCTCGCCACCAGGGCTCGGGGTGGGGGGATGGTGCTGCGCTGAACCTTAATCATCCAGTTCTCTGTCCTTCCTGTTTCCTTCCCTCCCACCCGCGCCTCTCTACCTGCAGGCTTGTTGAGTGACCGGAAGAAAGTGACTCTGGGCACCCAGCCCACGGTCCTGAGGACTTTCCGTTCTCTGTCTACCACCAACGTCTTTGCTTGCTCCGACCGCCCCACTGTCATCTACAGCAGCAACCACAAGCTGGTCTTCTCCAATGTCAACCTCAAGGAAGTGAACTACATGTGTCCCCTCAACTCGGATGGCTACCCCGACAGGTGGGCCTCCTCTGCTGCCTCGCCCCCATGCCTCGTCCAGTGCACAGCCAGCCGGCACAGACATGGGACGTGCCCTTTGGGGTTCTCACTTCCCCCTTAGGTCTTGGGTGGGAGGGGCGCCTAGATGCTGCTGGCCGCAGGTGCAGGGAACCTCGTCAGCTGCAGCCTGGAGCCTCTGGCTCGGGTTTGATGGAGTCCAAGGGAGCAGGAGACTCCCAGCGAGTATAGCCCCAGGCCCGGCCCAGCCCGGCCCAGCCCAGCCCATTGGGATTCTGGTGTCTGGGTGCTTGAGCATCACAATGTAGAACAGGGAGGGTAAAGGTGCCTCAGCCAGGCCTGCCCTGCGCAATTACACACAAGTCTTGTGGGTGTGGGGCATGGAGTCTGCACCCGTAGCTCCTCCCTTCCATTGGGGATGGTGCCCTGGTGTGGTTCAGCCTGACCTTTCCACACCACTTCTTCCCTGGCTGCACTCCGCCTGACCCAGCCTTTCTTTCCAGCCTGGCCCTGGCCAACAACAGCACCCTCACCATCGGCACCATCGATGAGATACAGAAGCTGCACATCCGCACTGTCCCGCTCTATGAGTCCCCCAGGTGAGGGCCGGGCAGGGGAGAGCGTTCTCATCTTCTCCATGCAAGTCCCCCAGGTGAGGGAGCTGCCTGGCGGGGAGCAGGGGCTGCAGGCTGGTCCCCAGAGGCACTCTTGGCCACGTCTGTTCCGCAGGAAGATCTGCTACCAGGAAGTGTCCCAGTGCTTTGGGGTCCTCTCCAGCCGCATCGAAGTCCAAGACACAAGTGGGGGCACAACGGCTCTGAGGCCCAGTGCCAGCACCCAGGTGAGGCGGCACCAGGTCCAGCCTTCTCGGTCAGTCACAGTGGGCGGGGGCCCGCTGTGTGCACGAAGACACTCTTTCCGTTTGTTGCTTTGTCTGGGTGGGTCAGCTGTGGGTTCTCAGTGGGTGTGGGGTTGTGGGCAGGCCTCGGGCAGCTCTGCCCTTGGGGCTCCTCTTCTGTGAAAGGATGAGGGCAGGGCATCTGAGTGGCCGGCGCTAGGCTCCAGGGCAGTCAGTGCTCCCTGTACTTGACTGCCCTTGTGTTGCTTCCTTGCTGCTCTCCGGCCCCCAAGCCTCAGTGGCGGGGCCTTGTCCTTGACTGTGCAGGAGGGGTCTTGGCAGTTGTCTCTCTCCCTGAGTGTCTCTCAGAGACCCTTCGGTCCTTGCTGGGTCTCGGGCTGGCAGCATCTGCCCTTCCAGTCCGTGACTCCTTGTCCCCACTCCGTGCGGCCTGTGTTTGCTCAGGCTCAGCTCGGGCCTGGCAGAGTTTTCTTTGGTTGGACTGCAGCCTTGTGCTGCACCCCCCACACACACCCCGGCCGCTTCGCCTGGGTGCCCCTGCACCAGGAGTGAGAGCCCCTCTCCACCCCAGGCCCTGTCCAGCAGTGTCAGCTCCAGCAAGCTGTTCTCCAGCAGCACGGCGCCTCACGAGACCTCTTTTGGGGAGGAAGTGGAGGTGCACAACCTTCTCATCATCGACCAGCATACCTTTGAAGGTGCAGCCGGGATCAGTGCCATGCTCCCCACCGGCAGCCTCCTCAGTAGATCATTCTGGCCTCTGTCCGTCCCGCACTGTCACCGTCCCAGGGCAGGAGGGGGCGGGGCGGGTTGATCTGAGTTGGCAGTTTGCTCGACCAGCATGCGGGGTGGGAGCCCTTATGTCTGCAGAAGTGGGTGAGGGAGGGACAGGCCTTGTGGGCACAGTTACGTGGTGGCGTGGGGGTGCAGCTGAGGCGTGACCGGCCCGTCGTCCCTCGTCTCTGGCCCTTGCCTTCCAGTGCTTCACGCCCATCAGTTCCTACAAAACGAGTACGCCCTCAGCCTGGTGTCCTGCAAGCTGGGCAAGGATCCGAACACGTACTTCATCGTGGGCACCGCCATGGTGTACCCCGAAGAGGCGGAGCCCAAGCAAGGCCGGGTTGTGGTCTTCCAGTATTCTGATGGTGAGGGGGCAGGACTAGCTGGGCGGGGCAGGGGTCCACATTCTGGCCAGTTCAGTGAAGCAGTGACAGAGCGTGGGTTTGTGCCCAGAAAGGGGCGTCCAGCTCTTTTCCTCTCAGCTGCTGCTGCTGCTCCCGATGGGGTGTGGGCAGGGCACTGCGAGGCAAGGGCAGAATCTCCTCGCTCGGCGGAAGAAGGGGATGCTGGGAAGAGAGCCAAGTGGCCAGGATCAGCATTGAGAGCTGAGCTCGGGTTTTCTATTTGGTGGCCCAGCCCTGGGAGGGAGGCCTCTTTCTGGCTGCAGCTCTCTGCTCACGGCCTCCTGACTCCTCCCGTCTACCCCACCCAAGGGGTCAGCTGCCTGAACTGGAAGCTCATCGGTCTGGAGAGGTCCCTTGCCTCAGGTGGGGTCTTCCTGCTCCAGAGGCTGCGGGCCCTGGGGTGCGCAGCCTGCCTCTGAACAAGCTGCTTCTCGGCCAGGGGCTGCTCGGTAGAGAGGGGAAAGCAGAGACCCCTCTGAGTGAGGTCGAGGGTGGGCTCCTGACGGACTTCTCAGAGCGCCCTCTTGTCCCCCAGGCAAGCTGCAGACGGTGGCTGAGAAGGAAGTGAAAGGCGCCGTGTACTCCATGGTGGAGTTCAACGGGAAGCTGCTGGCCAGCATCAACAGCACGGTGAGGCCCCGCTCCCGGCCTTTCAGCTCTCCTGCGGGTCACGTGGGCCTTTCGGACTCTCTTGGTAGCCCTTTGAGGGGGCAGGTGCCTTTCCAGCGGTCTCCTCTGCCGAGTGCCAGTCGGGAGAGCGTGGCTCAGAACATTCTCTGTCCGTCTCCGCAGGCCCCGCGTCTGGCCCTTTAAGAAGTTGACTGCTGTGTGTGTCCTGTTTTACCAGGCTCCATGTGGAAAGAATGGCGCAGTGGGATTTTGCGGTGATGGGAGTTGCTAGCTATGGCACTGGTTTCTTTCTGAAGCCGGCCTCCCACCTCCCCGCCCCTCGTTACTGCACACCGTTATCCAGAGGGACACCTCACTGGGGCTCGGTTCCACAGGCCTGTCACAGTTTAGTAGGCGACAGTGCTCAGAGCTGGTTGCCCATCAGCCCTGAGGATGGGCACCCCATTTCAACCAGAGCACTCATAAATCTAGAGTTCCCATTCAACTATAGCAGGAATAGAAGGTTTGGGTGGGAAGCCAGAGGCTTGGTGTCCTTGGGTGACACAGATGGATAAGCACCCAGCAGTTGTCTGACAGGCTGGGCTTCGAGTTCAGTGGTGCCAGGGAAGAAAGGCCGGGCCATCTGCTTCTGAGGGGGCACCTGCCCTTGAAAGCCCCAGGCAACGCTGTTGTGCATTGAGTCGGAGCCGACCCAATGGCGCTCACAGACCCCCAGTCCCAGTGGGGTGGGGACGTCGGGTGGACAGGTGTGGAATTGGGCAGGTAGCAGTGTGGTTGACATCAACAGCTTGGAGCCAGCGTGGGGTCCTCCACTGAGGTGCTGAGCCCTGGACTGCTTACAAGTGGGGGTGATGGGGAAGAGATTCAGTCAGACAGAGGAGCTAACCAGTCGGGTGGGCAGAGCCCCCAGAAAGAAGAATGTGCTGGAAGCTGTGGGAAGCAGATGGACAGATAGGGGAGCTCATAGAAAGAAGACAAACGGCCGGTGGCACTCGGTGGGGACCTTTTTGGACTCTGGTTGCCTGTGGGGAGGGCACCTAATCCGATTGGACCTACCCGAGGAGGGGAGGGGCGAGCAGTAAGGGAAACTGCTTCAGGGTACGTGTGTGTCGGGGGAAGAGATCTGGGGCAGTAACTGGACGGACCGCTCACAGCGAGAGCTTTGTCTCTCGTTCTGGACTTTGTGTTTGTGCACGTGAGCATGTCTTCACTGGAGCCTGACGGGCTGGTCAGGGCTCCTGGCCCCTTCTGCCTTCACTGGTCAGAAATCATTGGAGCTGTTGTGCTCCGGCCTCGGGCTGG